TATTATAATATCCTATGTGATTTTATTATTAATTAAGTTTCTATACAAAACAATACCTTGCTTTTAATGGTTGAGCGAACAGCCATTGGAAATGACTATCCGATGAATCATTGCTAATTAATACGCATAGAGAATATTTAGTGACTATAACTGTATACTGTAGTACTTTTGTTACGCTCATTTAAAACTGTAGACTGAAATATACTTAGATAGTACCTAATTCTTTTTATCATTCATCAAGAATTTTGTTTACAATGAAATTTGGCTAAAAACTTCAAAGGTATCATTGCAATCTTGCAAAATTCAAAGACAGCTTTAGTAGATTGCATCCCTGAAGTTAAAAACGAAAAAAACAGTAAAATTACAATAAATCCATTTATTTATAACTAGCTACTCGCCCCGGCTTCGCACGGGTGTACATGTATTATGTAAACCTTCCTCTTAATCTATTAAAAACCGCTTTAAAATCGGTTGCGTAGTTTTAAAGATTTAAGCATACATAGGGACGGACAGACAGCGACAGCGACTTTGTTTTATACTACGTAGTGATGACATATAACTTTTAAAAAATTACCTATAATTTTATTTTACAACAAATTGAACCACAGCGAACCATTCTACTGCTTCAGAGGCTTGTGTTGTTTGTTAACCTTCTTGTAAATACTTACCATAAATTGCTTTGTAAATTTGTATGTAAATCAACTTCAAAATTTATTCGTAAGCCATCCAACTGCGATATTTCTTTGAATTGCATACTTGTAAAGATTCGTAAGTCGAGTGGCTACATTGTATATTTTCGTACATTATGTACTTTCTTCATTTATTTCTATTGCAACAATTTTAACTAGAACAACCTTTTTTTTATTACAGACTGGCACAGATCTTACTACGCGACCTTACGTCCCAACAAGCAGGTTTACGATCTTCTAATCTCATCTGGGGTGTTCGCCGTTATAAACGCTGCCGTATTTCTTGTACACGCATTCTTCACCTTTAGGAAGGAGGCAGATTATTAATATTCGTGTTAAGTTGTACCCGTACTACGACATTCTTCTGATAGATTAACTATAGTTATATAATTTGATTTAGTTTCGGCTTCGGTCGCTCCACTTATATTATTTTAGTAATACGTAACTTATATTATTGTGAATTAAATAAGATCATTGCTAAATATAGTTAAATGTTTATAAATACAGTATTGCTTTGTGTAAATAATTGAATGTATTTGTCCTATCGTGTAGCTACGCCTTTCCGTATTTTCTAAAGTTTTATTCATTAATTTTAAGTCAGTTTGCCCTGTGCAGTAGCTAATGAGAAATACATATTTGTAAATTAATTATAATATCCACAATGCAGCTATATTAAAGTAAGTTTCTGGCCGAAAGTGCAAGTTGGAAGTTAGTAGAAATAGGCATTATTAGATATAAAAATATATTCCCTGATAACAATATATATTACTCGTAAACATGGGTAATAATATGCAATGGAAATATGTTTTAATTTGAATAATTAGTTCAGTAGTTGCGCGTCCACGCTAGTTTTAAGTTTCGTTTATTATTGTATTATGTTACTGAAATCATTCCGCTGAGACCAAATTGAATTAGTTGTAGGAGATGACGAGTCATCTAAATGTCTATATTATTTGTAATCAACTTTTTTGTTAATAATTAAACGAAATAACCACCGGTTGATTGATTTTAGAATTAGTTTTGTATGTTAGGTTGCAAAAAGTAAATTTCAGGATATGGAGGCATGACAGCTTAGTACTCCGGAATGGCAAATCTTTGTATTAATGTACACGGTACCAAATGCTGTGTGTCTACTGCAGTACCAAATATGATCACGGGATGTCCATAGCATGCTTGCCATTCCCATCACATAAAAAATATTGTTTTAGATTTTTATATTATTTTGTTCTATTTAAGACTATTCTTCCGAGGTTTTTAGTTGAGAAATATACTTTTCATTTTTAATTTCATTAATTATCGATAAAAACAATTGTGTATAAGAAATTAATGACGTTTTTCATATAATAAACATAACCTACATAAGATAATATTTTGTTCTTGGATAAATAGAAAATTAAAATAGATAAGAATAAAAAATATTTAACATTTTTAGGACATCATATTATAAATTGCATAGAAATCTATGGTAAATATTTTTTTAATTATCACCCATATATGGTTTATTTGTTCATTGAAATTTAAATGTTTGGAAGTTGAATTGTAATTTATGTTAAGCATTATTTTAGTTATATAATATTAAAAGGGGAGAACCAAAGCAGTAATCAGTATCCGTCCAGACGTAGTTAAGTTATTTTTCTTGCTGCTCTTTGTGTTTCTTTCCTAATTTTATCCTTAACTTAACATTACTTAATCTAACATTCCATTCTTTCTGTAAAATAATTTACTAACATAATTTTAAGTTCTTGTGAGTATTTTGATACAATTTATTATTATTTATTTAGTTGTAATTTAATAGTAGTTCTAAATTGGTTTTTCAACCGACTTCGAAAAAGGAGCCGGACGTCAATTCGGTTGTACTTTTTGAGGTATGTTATATTTTTATTACATTATGCTTAATTTATGTCTTTTATTCGGATAATATTATTAATTGCAAAAAAAACCTATGCCTAGTTGAGGTTTAGGGATGTCAAGTTTCCAATAATTAAAACTATTAGAATACCTACTTACTACATAGTTATAATCCAAATATATATCTACCAACATGTAATAAGAATAAATAAAAATATTAATCTATATTAGAGTGTAATTTAAATTTATTCGACATTATATTTATTATTGAATTAGATATAAGATTAAAACATTGCACTGTGTTGTGAATGTAGTTAAGGATATATATATATAAATGTAGTATTTAGAAATGTATATAGCAATGAATAGATATTTGTTTATGGTATTTGGCGCTAATGTTACCTTATATTGTATATCTTATTTGGTCACAGTGAGGTACTCGCGTCTTACACCCATACTTCAATAAAAAAAAATACATCCACATTCGATTTTTGAAACGCCAATCAATTAAAAATATTTATAACAATAATTATTATGAGTAGTAAATGATTTGTAACAATTAAACATTTGTTTAATAATTAAAATTGGGAAATGTTACGACAAAATACACTGTCCTTTGTTTTTTAATGTATAATTTATTCCTAATGAATTTTATTTCAGAAGATGTAGATTTTGTTTTGTAATTAATTACGAGTATATGTAGGCATAGATGTAGAAATACTAAAACTAAAATAAAAACTTTCGTCTTTTTGCATGATTATAAATATCAACTATGCCTAGTATGAATAACACGTTTTGACACATTTTTTACTTGCTTTATATAAAAAGTTACTGTAACTTGATTTTCGAATATAAAAAATTACTTGTTTGTTTCTATTTTTAAAATTTCCATTAAATATTTTTTTTCTTTTATATTTAAACAGTAACAAAAAACAGTTTTACTCCAGTATTATATTTTTGGTTGGCCTTTCGAATCTTATTTACTATTATTATAATGTACCCGTCGTAATAATAATTAAATAAATAATTATAAATGAGTATTTTTTATTATTGTGTAAGATAATCCTAGTGGATGATCCAGTGTTAATTACGAGTTACCGATGTAGATGTTTTAGTAACACTTATTTCAGTCTCCAATCAGTAATTGAATTGCCTACCTCCTAGAAAATATATATCTTTCCCTATAGGTAATAAATATTATCTATAGGGAAATATATATGACGACCTCAGTGGTCTAGCAGTCTAGCACACCGCTTTATGTCCGATGGTCGCGGGTTCGATTCCTCGCACGGCACAAACATTTGTATTCATGAGTATGATTGTTTGTATCGGTCTGGGTATTTTCTATGTATAGTATGTAGGTATGTGTTTACAAAAAAATATATCTATGTATTTGTATCAGTTATCTAGTACTCATAACACAAGATTTAGCTAGCTTAACTTGGGTCTAGATGGCGTCGTGTGAATTGTTCTGTGATTATTATGTTTCTTAATAGGTAGGTAGGAAAGATACAGCAGTAAAATTATAGTTTCCTCAGAAATAATAAAATGAGTTATTTATTGTCCCTCAGTACACTAAAATTATTTACTATCCCCTGAAAAAGTAACACAATGCATAAGAGGGGTATGAATGAGACAAATTTATACAAAGTTTTATATGCTTGCTTAGCAAGTTGAAATAGGATTGTGAAACAAAACAATACCTTTTAATAAGAAACCAATTTAAATGATTTGTAAGAAAGTACAACTCATAAACAAGTAATTATTTCAAAATTAAAAAAATAAAATATATAAATGAACAAAAATATTTGTGTCAAGAAAAACTACTTCACAAACTATTCATATACACATACTATTAGCACACAAACATACACATACACAGGGGTTTTACTACCACTATTTTCCTCTACTAATCCTACTATTTACCCTTACACTTATTCACCACATAATTTACCTCATTTATTTCATAAATATATTTCTAAACATTATTTAAAATTAGAACACAGAAGTCAAGGACTTCTTTTGAATTTATGAAAAAAAAACAATATAAAAAAAATATATTTATATTTTGATAATTTTATTGTTAAATACACAATAACATAAACATTTACTTCTTAAGTACTGTATTAAATCGCCCTTTAATTCATGATTAAGTGAAAGAAAAAGATCTCCCTATAATGAAGAGGTATGCAATGCCTGGACAAGATTTCTGTCGAATGTTTATTTTTATAGTAAGTAGGAATAAGTGCCAAAAGTAATACATGACATTATGGAATGTTCTGTTCGACGCAGAAATATATAGGCCGAAAATTATTCCTTGTCTATGGAGACTGCAGAAAAAAGTAACCTGGCTTGTAGAAAAAAAAATCTACTGCAATTTCTAGGTTAGGTTAAAAGATTCTATCGTATTCTTCTCAATGGAATGACTTTATGTCTTAGCAATGATTAAGAGAAATCACTTACCTTCTCAGCTTTAGCCAGGTAGACCCAAAGCTTCCTCCAAGTCGAGAATTTCTTCTGATCACTAAAATTGTATTGCATTTCTTTAGACGCATATCTAGTACTTAACGGCGACCGGTAGTTACAATATTCCGAATTCTGTAACTCCACTGGGGCGTCAATAGAGAACATTTTGATATTCTTATTTAATTAAAAGGCTTAATCTGTATATAAATTGATAATTTTAATTTATTCCGCGAATTAATTTCTGGCACAAACAGCTGATATTGACAGAAAAAGTTATAATTGACAGCAACTCTGAAACTGATTGAGTGACTGAGTGAGACACCACAGCTAATAACAAACAAACCGAGGTCGTGTCGTTGCCATACCCGCGAACATTGAAATTGAACTACAGGCATGATAACAAGGTTATCAAAGCCGAATCTGACGTAATTTAGAAAACAGTATTACGAAAATAGGTCGACTGTTGTTGTTACTCTAGATTACTTTACACACGTACCATTGTTAAGTTCCATATTTGTTTAAGTAGGTATCGTCGTTGATAACTTGTCATTAAGTATTTATTATTAACGCCTCGGTTTCGCACGGGTAAACATGTATTATACATATAAACATTTCTCTTGAATCAGAATCTATTGCCAAAAACTGCATTATAATCTGTTGCGTAGTTTAAAAGATCTAAGCAGTCAGCGGAAGTTACTTCATTTTATACTATGTAAAAATATCTTTATAGAATAATTATAAACATGGCCACTGCGCCATCTAGTTTCAAGCTATATAGCTTTTACAAGACAACGGATATAAATACTTAGAAATATTTTAGTTGTAAATACATACATAATATAGGTACATAGAAAATGTCAAGACCGATTAAGACAATAATACTTATGAATACAAATGTCTGTAGCATGCGAGGACTCGAACCCGTGGCTATAGGAAGTAAAGTGGTGTGCTACATCGCTAGCTCCCGAGGTCGTAATAGTATTAAATACTTTATAGTACAAAGAATAACATGTTATTCTTTGAACTTATTTTTAAGGCTATGTAAATGTGCCGCAGACTCTTCTACGGCTGATTCTGAAATAACACTGCAATGCCTGCACTAACAGTATACGCTGGCGGGGCACCAGTGGAGGATGATAGGATGAGCATAAATTCAGGTCTGCTAGCCTATTACAACAAATTCATTGTAAAACGTATACACAATTTGAGGTTTCAATTATTTGGTAAAGAGGCCCCTGATTATTAAATTGTTGATACAATTGATATAATAGTATGCTATATTTACTTTACACTTATGCCTGATTATTTTACGTACATACATACGTATACGAGATACGATTACTATATGATGCAATAATAATAATTTAGTAATATCATGTGTAATGTAGAAAACAGTTACAGCAATATCTATACAACACAGAAATAAGAACATTTGACAAATAAAAATAAATCTTTATTTACAATCAATACATTTCACACTGATGACATACATTTATATTTTGTAGTAACAATATATTTTATTTATTACAAGTCTATCTAATATTGTATTAAGGCACTTGAAAGTGTATTTAATGAACAATTTACAAATTTATCCTATACTAATTTATAAAACCAACAAACCCATATTAGTGTTTTGTCACATACTATCTAGTTAGTAAGATAGTTTGTAAAAAAAGGATAAAATTATAATGGCTAATATGGGTTCTGATAATGTATTTCTAAATAAAATGGTTATATTATGACTTAAAATTGTTATTGTCAGTTTTTTTTATTTCTTAATGATACTGGAAAGACATACAGTTAATTAAATTTACTTAATCTTTTTGTAAAAATCTGGCCTCTTTTAGTCGTCGGAATTACTTAACATTTTATGAATAAATTGAAAATACATATAAAATATGTTGAATTACTAATTCCATCAAAAGCATCGCCAAGATCGTACAGAAAACAAGATGAATAAACAAATGAACAAGAAAAGTATGTATAAATAAAAAAAAAAGATACTGAAGTTGCCAGTAAGAAAAATTGCATTAAGTTCTTTATTATTATTATAAATAAAAAACAGTTAAAATATACATCCTAAATTGGTATAAAACCCAAAACACTATTACTAAAAATAACAGCATGCAACTTAAATATTATAGAATAAAAACTCAAATATATAAAATATTTAATTCCTTAATATAATAATTTATATTAGAAATATACACCACTTTAGTCACAACCAATTATCTTGCGTTGTTCCTAATTTCAACAGTTTTCTTTTTTCATTTATTACTAGAGTAGTCAATTATTAAATTATGAGTCATATTTTTTTTATAATTGCTGGCTGTTTACAAACATTCAAATCTCTAAATATACTTTTTAATTATTTGTATTTACACATTGCATGTCAGTCATTTCAAATATTAGTATGTTTTTTTCCAAAATGGCTAGCATGTAGAATTTTTATGCTATGCCAGTGACGTCTCATTAGCAACAGCATGTGTTCATAGCCTCAAATATGCAAATAATGCACCGGGCGCAACATATATTGTTTAATTCTATTTTTTACACATTGCTGGTTTTATTAATTTGATTTATGGTCGACTAGAGTTTGTCATTTTCGTGGTTTATTTAATTATTAATAACGGAATTAATTATTTTTATTAGTTATCTTTATATTGCACTTGGGTTTGATTTTGGTATTCTCTATATACAGACGTTAGACTTTGTTTTTCAATGACTTCATCATCTTCTCAAGTTTCATAGCTTTTTGGATGTCGCCGGCTATCTTCAGCTTGCCCATCATGAATGCTGTTGTTGGTTTTAATTTGCCTATAACGATATAATGACATGAATTAATATTAAAAGTTAGTTTACGGCTCTGGATGCAAGTCCCTTGCAAGTGCAGTAAACTGTTTTAAATAAGTCAGTAAAACATACAAAATGGTCTTGGAATTGAGAAATATCGTTTTTTTGTAGTAAAATACAAATAAATGTCTATAAATTTATTAGAATAAACAACAGCGTGTGCCGACGCTTTTGTTTATTTTAATAAAAAGCATATTTCTGTACAAGTATAATATATAGTTTTCAATATCTGGTCAGATCGAACAAATCGTTCCGATACTAGAAACTTATCTACTGTTGTACGGTCTTCGTACACTACCGTCGAGCGCCGTCAGCATTACTTTCTTAACGTTGAATACAGTCATTAACAAATTTCAGTGCACTTTCGGTCGCCAAACATACCGAGCGTGCTCAGCTTACTATTTTACAATTACTCATTTCACTATTGATGATCAAATACTAATAAATTTTATACTTTAATGTGTAACTTTTTGACATTTCAATTATTATTTTTTTTAATGTTACTTTCTCTACTGGTAGTCTGGAAGATATTGCTTATCGATAAGACTGTCTTTTGTATCAGTTTATGTAATCTATCATTTTATGTGTTTCCTTTGTCTGGTGCAATAAAGAGTTTAAATAAATATTATTATATTACATTAAATGTGCAGTGTAACAAAACCATATAACTGTCTTACCAGCAAACATATCCGCAAAGTTCGCGCCTTCCATCGTTAGGGTTGCATCAGGTGGACTTTTGGGTTCACCCTGTCCGCACGATCCATCTCCATTCTTCAAGTCAATATGCCACACACCTTCTTCTTTGCCTAAAATATAATGAAAAAAAATAACAATAATTAATAAATATGTTGTGCTTAGTGCTGTTTTTTTTTTATTTAAAAACATAAGCTACTGGTACACAATTTTTAGCTACCGTAGAATAATAATAAAGTTCTTGGACAATTGACACAACGCCATATAGTCCCAAGCTAAGCAGAGCTTGTGTTATGGGTACTAGACAATTGATATAAATACTTAGATATCCTTTTTTTTAATACATACATAATATACATATAAAACATCCAGATCGATATAAACAATCATACTTATAAATACAACTGTTTGTACTGTGCGAGGAATCGAACCCGCGACCATCGGACGTAAAGGTGTACCAAAACAGCTAGACCACCGAGGCCCAATCTTGCTGCACCGAGTAAGCCAAAGACTGCGATAATGTACTTACCCTTTACATTGAACTGATAGATAGCCTGTGTCTTCTTCACCAGATCAGCTGACAGACTTTTACTGATGGACTCAAACAGTTGTGGAATCTGGCCACTTGACGTTGCTTTTGCTTCAGACTGGATAAACATATTTAACTTATTATAACAAATTATATTGAAATGAAAAGAAATAACAGTTCTATACATTATAATAGACTATAAACATAAGACAATATATCCATAACGAATATAAGTGATATATTCTTTATGGATATTAACAAAGAGTATAGACTATGATTATATGTAGAAAGATGTTGTTTTTATAATAGATTTAGATTTAAAATAAAATAATGCAAAAACAACATGCAATATTATTTGTGAATGCAATTCAATGACTAAAATGCCCTTTAAAGCATGTTTGTGCTCACAAAATAAATTATTATGAAATTCATATGTGACCTTTATTTCGATTTCATTGTGCAGTGGTTTTATTCTAATATTAGTTTTGTGTATAATTTTGTTTTCATTATAGAGGAAAATCATGCAATCAGAATGAAGAATAAGAATCAGAATGAAGAATCAGTGGCCTGGCCATAGACAATTTATAATTTTGGCCACACCTTTTTCACAGCTTGTTTTAATTGTGCTTGAGACCCGGGGTGTTCCAAAAAGAAATCCAGCAATAGATTTGGTACATTACCTGTGGACAAACAATTTGCCGAACTTCAGAAATAATATTAAGTTTCAACATAGACTTTTTAATCAATTCAGACTAGTTATGAGTCAAGTTGTGGTGTGAATAATTGAAAATCTAATAGTATTACACTTATTTAAATATAGACGTAGCCATTACAAACATCTTTTCATAACTAGATAATTTAATAAATAATTCGTATATAAAATGGCTATGACCACTGATTCCTATAAATTAAAATTAGTGTTGAATTTATAGATTAAATATTTACAAACCAAATTAAATATATTCCAACTACTGTTCTACTGCGTTTCTTTTTATTAAATTAATAATTATTGTCATTTGCATATGTTCTAAAATTCTACAATATAATATTTTATTTTTTAATAAGAAGTATGTTCTCTATTCCACTGTATGTTCTCAATATAAATGTAGTGGGATCTATTTTTACACCAATTATGACGAAGAATTGTCGCATGCTGATTTGTTTACACTATTGGCCTGTTTTAGAAAAAAAATTTGTAGAAAACAGCTTTTCTGGATTGTTTCCTATTCTCTTACATGAACACATTAATCTTTAGAACTAGTTACCCAAAGCAATAATTAATTTGCATTTAGTGAACTTTAGTTACATTATTTTTTATTGGTTAACTGTGATCTGTTATTTGAATAAATACAGACCTATCAATTTATACGTGCAATGTAGAATAATAAAGAAACAACTACACATTATAGTTTTTCTTTATTGTTTCAGAAATGTAATTTCTAGCCATGAAAACCAAATAAATGCCTTATGCCATACTATAGATTGAATGAAATCTAATTTATCAATATAATAATTATCCTAAAATTCTTAATGGTGTTTTTCTAAATCTAATACACTATATTTTTTAAAGATAAGAGACAGGATTTTCAATTAAATTGGTGGGACTGTTCTTAAATACAGATATCCAATAAAAAATATTTTCGTAACTATTCTAAGGCCCTGGAAAGCAGTCCTTTTAGTGAACTCTACATGCTTGTAAATACCAGTGCTGACAACATTGCCACACGAACCTTCTCTTCTTTGTGGTTAACCGAGGATGTATGGTAACGTCGCCTTGCAACAGTGAACACGGTCGCGCGGTGTTGGGACTTCGCGACCGGGTCATCAAGGAATCCGTCCAATAATAGATTATTCACGTTTTCTGAGATCAACAATAAGTGCTGTCAAATGACTGCTAACTACGAAACTAAGATAATTTACAGAAGGGCAGGCTGTATGGTCCAGGCATCTTTGTCTACCTTCAGGCAATTAGAAAAATAATATGAATCTAACTACAGATCATCAATCTTCTGAATAGCAGTAATTTCAAATATTACAGTAGGATATTATGGAGATTGCAGGTTGTTTTAAAAATAGTTATATCGAAATCTGGCAACATCTACAAAACCTGCCAGTATTAAAGAATTTTCAATATAAATTATTATTTAAAACTTTCTCTGTTTATCTACAATATTTTCATATTGTAGACAAATTAAATAAAGTTGTGCTACTCATTATTTGTTTAATACTATGCTTATGTTTACAATTATTTTTTTAAATTATCAACTTTGTAATATTTTTTAAATAGGAAAATTTCACATGTTTAAATACAAATGTTGCTAGTTTTGTGATAATTATGATAAATATTTACTTTGAGCGAATTAACAATGTATGTATACCAAATCGGCATGATTTCGCCGTTACATTTTTCCAAACATTTATCATAGATATTAAAACAATGAATAGTTTATATGGGTTACTTACTGGGGTCACATGCATAGGGGTCCAAATTCTTCACACCGGCTTCGGTGACCACGTCGTCATCGATCGCGAAGTTACCCGTGTAAGTTTTCGGATCCCTGCAATTATTTTAGATAGTTAGACCTAGTTTAGGTTAACAGGTTCCTTACAACTATAAACCAATGGCATTACAATTTGTATGTACATTAAATATGTAGAACTGGGATTGAATGATGCAACTATTATTTATATGATATATATAATAATAATAATCTCAGGACAATGCACATAGCGTCATCTAGACCCAAGTTAAGCTAGATAAAGCTTATGTTATGGGTACTAGATAACTGATACAAATACATAGATAATTCTTTTTCGTAAATACACACATATTATTCATAGAAAACACCCAGACCGATACGAACAATAATACTCATGAATACAAATGTTTGTACCGTTACAGGAATCGAAATCAAGAGGACAGCAAGTAAAGCGGTGAGCTTAACCGCTAGATCACCGAGACCGTAATTATTATAGTGCATATACATACTTGCATAGCATAAAGTAAGCCGCGTCCGACACTATGTCGACTTTCCGGCTGGTCGACGTGTCGCCTGTCAGCATGTCGATGGCAGCTGTTGCAATAGCTGGAAAGAAATATAACCGTTATATAACACACATTTTTATAAGCAGACTTCAAAATAGACAACATTGCAATATGGAAAAAAATAATTAAACTCTTTATTTTATAATAATACCAGCTGTCCCGGCAAACGTTGCTTTGCCGTATAAATTATAATAGCTATTAAAAAATAGGGGTTGATGGTAGAAGGATGAAAATTTGGGGTTGTATGTATTTTTTAAAGCCACATTATAAATAAATAACAAAAAAAGTTACGGGTGGACAACCCTCATCAATATATAATATAGGGGTATAAAAATATATAGTAGCCGATTATCAGACTTACTGAGTCTGAAAATTTCATGAAAATCGGTCAAGCCGTTTCGGAGGAGTATGTTAACTAAAATTGTGACAGGTGAATTTTATATATAAGATTTTGTACAAGTCTGAATAAATATGGATAGAATAGAATAGAATAGAATAGAATAGAATAGAATAGAATAGAATAGAATAGAATAGAAAAGCCTTTATTAAAATAAACTTATATTCAAGCACTTTTTAATAGTCATCACTTATTTTTTGAACCTACCGCTCACTCGGAAACCGTCTCATATATTATATATGCTAGCTGTCTCATCATTACATAGTATAAAACAAAGTCACTATCACTGTCAATCCGTCCCTATGTATGCATATATCTTTAAAACTACGCAATAGATTTTGAAGCGGTTTTTTTATAATAGTGTTTCAAGAAGAAGGTTTATATGTATAATACATGTACACCCGGGCAAAGCGAGTAGCTAGTATAATATAAACTACCAACTAAAAACTAATTCATGTTTTGATAATTACTTATACAATGCAATGGATAGTGTCCTTACTAGCTTTTTATGATTAGTAGACATAGTACATTAAACTTAGTAAATCAGAGACTTAAATAAATTATATTAGATAGAAACTATTTCCTGAATCTTATATAAAAAGCTTGATCTCATTAGTTCAGTATTAAAGAATGTAGGTTAGTTTAAGTAACACATATATCAAGACACTAAAATTCTTACATACGTAAATCTAATAAGTCCAGCTTGGTAGTTTCTCAGTATAGCACACCACCTGACTCCTTATGGTCGCGGGTTCGATTCAGCGCAAGATGTAAACATTTGTATGTAATAGTATGATGGTTTATATTTGTCTGGGTGATTGTTATACATTTATTTAAAATACATATACACGTATATTGTAATGCATACAAAATATACACATGTATGTATTTTTTTTAATATATTTAAATATTTCTATCAGTTGTCTAGTACACATAACATAAGCTATGCAGTATCTTAGGACTACATGGTGCTATGTGCATTGTCCAAGGTTATTATTATTATTAACCTCCTTTTTTTTTGGTAAAAATAAATATGATAAATAATACGATACCTGTGCGCGGCCATAGAGCATTTACTCCAACGTTGTACTGCTTAAATTCTTCCGCCATTCCCAACACGCACATTGACATACCATATTTGGCCATTGTGTATGCTACGTGAAGAGAAAACCTAAAAATAAAAGGAAATTAAAAAAAAAAAGGAAATTATATCAGATGAGTCGACAAACCGAAATCAAAGGATTTTTATTTTTGAGTACCAGAGTTTCACTTATTTGGCCGCCAAGCAGTTTGCTTTGTAAGTTGTATTTCGGTTGAATGGTAAGACTGTAGCGTGATGGTATCAACTGACCATTGTAGCGTTATGTATGATGTGATGTGGTATCACTATTTAATTTATTTCCTGCATTAACTAAATATAATAATAATAATCTATATATGTCTCAACTAATAAACTATTAGAATCATTGCTTATAATACAATGAAGGTATTAATCGAGACCAAACGGTATACAATTCAGAGGGGTCAGTGAGTCGAGCCTTCTGCTATAATTGTACTATATTAGTAAGTTTATTTAATAGTGTAGTACATAGCTTATTAGTAACACGATTCGACGCGGAGTCGTAAAGTGGACGTGAACGTTAAATCTAAGTTAAAGAATTGGAGAAGGGTGCCAAGTGTTGACAATGTACATAATATTATAAGTATTCACAGGCACAAGACAAGGGCGAAAAATGACAGAATAAAAATACCTTAGTCCTGCGGAATGTCAATGCATATGACTTACTATATGACTATCATTACATACAATATGATCTTTATTGCTATTCATGTATATAAGTTATTTGTTATTACCAATAACATAAAAAGAAACATTGCAATATTTTTTTATGATATTGGAAACAAGTTACTTGGAATAAATTCTATATTATTAATTTAACACTCACCAATAAGGGTTTAAATTAAGGGGAGGAGATAGATTTAGGATGTGAGCATGGTTGCTGTTCTTCAGATGTGGTAGACACAGTTTTGATCTGAAATAAAAGCAATACACATTTTTAATTTATTTACTATTCTGTACATATACAGAACAAAACTACACATATATGGTCCATACAGTAATTAACATTTTTTCCCTATGCATTCAAACTGTCATCAATCAAATAAATTTTAGAAATTACAGCTTAACCTTACACCTTAAACCTACAGCTTAAAAATTCCTTATATATCATTGACTATATTGTAGTAATATATGAACAATGCCTTATTAATTTGCTTCCCTTACACAGTATAATAATAATATTTCATTGCACGGGTCTACATGAATTACACATATAAACCTTTCTCTTTAATCACTATGTTATATGTATGCTAAACACTGCATTAAAATCTGTTACGTAGTTTAAAATATCTAAGCGAACACAGCGGAATCGACATCAGTTTATATTATGTAAAGATTTTCACTTTAATATAATTACTACTTAGGCCTTATTATTATTGTTAAGATAGTTTTTTATATATTATATTTAGCATTAATACTAATAATAATTTATGCATTAAGAATACAAGTTGTGGCTAATCTCTGTGATAAATTTAATTACGTTAATATGTCATTAATTAGAGATTATCAATCATTAAACCCAATAGATCTCTGTTAATTAATTATGTCGATATAATTTATTATCTGTATATATGTAATAAATACATACAGTCCTTCAGTTCAGAGTTTGCGTTTCTGACAGATCGGACTCGAATGGGCGATGTAACTTTGAACTAACGTACAATTTAAGGCAAAATTTTAAATTTCTTTTATTTGCCTTATTATTGAGTGATGACGTCAAAAATTTAATAATTATTCCAACTTACAATACTCTAAAATTATGAACTATTTAACAAATATAAAAACAATAGTTTTTAAAAGTCAAATCACATCGAACTGCGCTGCTTCAAGGTTATGTCAACTGTTTGTTTTTGTAGTGATGTGACCAAATAACCTTGAAATAGCGCAATTGTACGTCAGTTCAAAGTTACATCGCCCATACGATCCCGACCTGTCAGAAACGCAAACTCTGACGGGCGGCCTTTAACATTATTTTTATGCTAAATTGTCTAAAAATAAAAACCCCAATGAACCCGCATTGTTTATGGAATTTGAATGTTAAACAAGACAATGGAACTATTGTGTAGTTTATTATATTCTACTGTATATAATTATTTTTAAATTCTTAATCATATTTAATCAACTGTTGGAGAGCATGTTTTTCGTTAAATACAAGGTCCTCGCATGTTTTGTGTGACTTTGACATCGCATGTTATTATGTATTTTATATTTTAATTAAGCAAATATATATATATATATATATATATATATATATATATATATATATATATATATATATATATATATGTTTTAACCAATTTAAAAAAAGTTTTCTCAATTACCTTCTTGTTTATATGCATTTTTTATAACACTTAGTGGTGCATTAAAGGACAATGTAATAAAGATGATTTGATAATGATTTTTTTTCTATAATTTTTTGGATGTAGTAAAATTCACAGAAAAAATTTATCATCATTGGATTTTTATATATGAACGCATAGAGCACAAACAACAAAAGTTTATTGCTAGTTATAAAGATTAGTAAGTTAAGATTAAGAGAAAATTACTTCTAAAGCCGTCTTTATGGCTTAATTTTCACAAAGTCAATATCTAATACATAAAATTCACGTGTCACAGTGTTTGTAACAAAACCACGCCGGAGTTCGGACCGTAGAGGAGCTGTTCTGAATTTAATTTCAACTTTTTCTTAAACTTCACCTTTTCAACCACTGGGGTTGAAGTTTGTAAAGTACCCCACAACAGAACAACAAACTTTAGGTTAAATTTCGTGTGTAGAAGGGATATACACATAATTTAACCTAACTTCATCCTTCTACCATCAACCTTTATTTTTTAATAGCAATATTAATTTATAAGGCAAAACAACCTTGTGGGTCAGCTGGTAAAATACACATTATTGTATCAGTTGGCTTTACTCAAGGGAAATATTGTATGTATATGCAAATGTATTCACCATTATTATTATTTTAACAAAACACATGCAAATACGGAAAAAACTTTTGTTAGTTAGTTTGTTTTATTTAAATAATTTCATTAAAATATGTTCTAACTGGCTAATCATAAACATCTTTTTATTCTAAATAATTATATATATAGTTCTGTTGTACAATTTCGTTTTTCCTTCACTTCTTGGCAATCTTATATATAGTTTCTTGTATTTTCTATTTAGCTATATACATATAAACAAAAAGAAATACTTACGCTAAGAAGGTGCCCGGAGTGTTAATATTATGCATCAGGTCGTATCGTTTCATGTCGGTGTGCTCAGTATCAGTTAGTGTTATAGCTGATGCATTATTCACTAATATATCAATACCATTAAACTGAAAATACGATAAGAATTTAATTAATAACAAGAGATACAATAACGGCCCAAGTCTAGCGGTATAGTATACGTTTTACTTCCTAGGGTCGCGGGTTCGATTCCACGAATGGGACAAACATTTGTATTCATGAGTATGATTGTTTGTATTAGTCTTGGTGTCTTCTATGTATATTGCGTATGTACTTGAGTATTTGTATAGTGCTCTTGGAGGCCTTATCAGTTATCTAGTAGCCATAACACAAGCTCTGCTTATCCTGCGACTAGAAGGCATTGTGTGAATAGTTGTAGATTATTATTAATGAAGACGGACCGAAAGTAAAAAAAAAAAAAACTATCAAAAGATATTAAAGAAAAGCTAGATCTTGTCTGATAATAAAGATGTGCAAAATTCCTAATCGTCATAGATTTGTGGAATTCTGTCATCAATTGTTCTGTCTGTCCTAGTTATATGCAATAAGCAAGCACTGCTTGCTGACCATCTATAAGACTTAACGTTCATACTTATGAATGAAAGATGTAAATCTACTTATGTATAATTATATGTAAGTTTATACACATATATAAATGAACGTCTCATCCTCTTTTTTTTGGACTACTCTAATGCTGTTAGTCGCAGCTGGCCGTTACAGCTTCACCGGACGATAGGGGGCGAGTGCAGATGGCACTCCAAACCCGAGGAAGGACTGGAGTGGCTGAAGGCTAACTCCCGCCTGACGATTACGACTTTAGTGTGAGGGCAGCCCTAGGGGTTCGAACCTCGGCTCAGGCCGTCGTAATTTCTCCTTTTGTACTGATCGGAGGTGCAGACGGGGGATCAATCGATGGGGGTCTTTCATATATACGATTCAGCATTACATAAAGTAGCCTTTATCATCATATAACTACTTATCGATGGATCACTATCATATTATAAAAAGTAACAACCTTTGCCTATAGACATGAAGACCAGACATTATATTTTGTATAAAATGCTTGTAGTGCCCCTTATACATCATTTCAAAAGACTAAGATCCATGGCCTGTAATTAAACTGCCATATCTCACCTTTCAAAGAGGAGCTATAAAGCAAACAGTTTAGTGGCAGAAACAGGTGAAAAAGATATACCAATGCTGATGACTTTGGAAAAGTCTATGAAAACATATATATAAAAAAAAATGTAGTCACCTGTTTAACAGCAGCATCAATAGCATTTTGTATCTGTTTTTCATCCCTTACGTCCACAATACATGGTAGAGCTTTACCTCCAAGTGCTTCAACTAAAAACCAAACCAAGTCAATTCATGACAGATAATAAATCTATATTCATATCAACATATAACTAATTAAGATATGTTAATTAATATAGAAACTAGCTACTCTTCCTGGCTTCGCCCGGGTGTATATATATTATACATATGAACCTTCCCCTTGAATCACTCTGTCTATTGCGAAAAACTGCATTAAAATGCATTGTATAAAAGATTTAAGCAAACAGACAGTGGAAGCAACTTCAATTTATAATATGTAAAAGATAATTAAACTCTCCAACTGAGCTATGAAAATGAAAAGTAAATTTACTACTAAATAATATAATTACTTCCAATTAATAATAAATAATCTTTATTGTAAATTTAATAATTGGTTCATTGTTATAATTCTATAACATGTTATTTATGTGGATAATCTTTGACATAAGTTCAAAGTCCAAAGTAAGAACCAATTTCAAGGGAACTACAAGATCACACAGGAGAAAGTTTATGGTGGTTTTATTAGGAATTTAAATGCACTTACTCTCTTCAGCCGCTGTGTAAATAGTTCCTGGAAGTTTTGGATGTGGTTCAGCAGTTTTAGCGGCAATAACAACGTTGGCTCCATCTTGTGCAGCTTTCAGGGCTATCGCCTTACCGATACCACGAGAAGCGCCCGTTATAAACAGCGTACGTCCCGCTAGTTTTCTAATAAAAGAAGTAAAAAGTAAGAAATACGTGAAAGTGGAACAATAAATTATGTTACAACATTTGATATATTCACCCCGTATTAGCCACTAAACTCATGTTTGGTGAGTGTTATAACACGGTATTGACTGATAAGAGTGGCAGATTATTTAATTCTAATTAAGTTTATTTATTACTGTTCAATTGTAAAGGTTGCGATAATTATTTATAATACATTCAACGATTACAACCGTGTGTAACGGTGTAACCGTAAATTATGCACAATGATTTGAGTGACTGATTGAGTGATTGATGACTGACTGCTTTTTTTTTACTGATATGTTTTACGACTGTGGATGGAAGTCCTTTTTAGCCCACCTTAACAAATATACACATAACAAGTTATAACTCGGAGTTTTACAGTACGAAATACAAAAATTAAGGTTAATGTCCAACATAAGTTAATTAGAACTGTTTCATCTGACATTTCATTGTTTTATTCTAACGAACTTATCTAGAAAAAAGACTTAAAAATAATCACAATTTCTTCAAAGTACTGGTAACATATTTATAGATGACTGACTGATTGTGACAAAGTTGCCACTCCTAGTAAAATATATATAGCCAAGAAATCATAATGAAACTCGCTAAATACCACTATACAAAGATTGAATTCAATGAACCTTATATTATGGATATTTTTAAAGCAGGGATGTTATGGATATGAAATTTAGGATTAGGATATAGTAATGATTATTATACTGGATACGGATACGGATGCGGATATGAAATTATTTCGGATTATCCGTTAGTTTCGGATAATTTCGGTTACGGATATTATTTTTTAAGGAATTTCAAAAGTAAAATACAAATAGTTAATAAAATGGTTACATAACGTGTCTCAATTAGGCTCCGCCCCTATCCGATACTATCCGAAACTTCATTTCGGATTCGGTTACGGTTACGGATATTTTTTTATATCGGATATCCGATAGTTTCGGTTACGGTTACGGAGCTCCCTAACATTCCTGTTTTAAAGTTAAAATATGACTTCCTTATATAAGTTATTGTAATTGATTTAAGTTAATAATTACTAATACATTGGAAGTTGGGATATGTGACCAATAATAATCCACCATCTCATTAGATAGAATGTTTTTTATAAGCGTTTCCATTACTAATTAGTGTTATTTATGTCAATAAAAATAGCCCTCAGTTTATTAGGCCCCAAAAGTAATCCACTTAATAAGCTCTATTTGCGCTTTAAAGGCACTGATGACAACAGTGTTCCCTATTCTACGATTTCAGATTCCGTATGTATTTCCATCTATTTTGAGAACAAAATCACGGTTCAGAGCAAACAAACTTCCGCGTTTATAATTAATATTAGTAAGAGTCGTTTTTTATATTACGATAACGATTTTGTCTGATGTTGAAATAGAAATTAACCAGCTTTAGTGAAGGCAGGTAGGGCAATTTGTATCACCAAAAAATAAAATATTATTTGTAAAAAAAAAAATGAAGGATGAGATTAGGGTAGGTATAACGAAAAGAAATCCGTAGATTTGAAATACATTTATTTTGTGCATCACTTCACACTCCAACTCAATCTAAACTCTAAAATACAACACCGGATAGGGTGAATAATTGCATAATATTCTAAAATAAATCTATAGTTTAATAATATCATAAGACATTTATTAGGCTTCATTACAATTGCAAACTTTTTAAATTAAGTATGGCTCGAATCGTTTCATTTGTTTCCAATTTTCAATATAGGTTTTTATACTCCATTCTAATTTACACTCCTCTGTACATTGGCACTAACTACATAATGTACACTGCGAAATTAAAATGTTAACATTTTATTTTTGAGTATTACAATAATTTAATAAGTACTTAATAATAATATGGTTTTTGCTCTTTCAATTGATGTAACGGAGGTACTAATGTACATACCGGCATTGAGAAACGCAAATATATAACCTTTTTATTAGAGATCATAAAATGGGATATTAGAAAAATATAAAGAGCAAATTAATTCAATTCTACATATTTTTTTTAATAATAAAAAAGGCGACACTTATACGAGTATATCGAACAGCAAAATATATGAATCTACTTAAAGATCAAACATCTTAAATGTTTATTATTTACACAAAAATAGTTTTATTATATTATTATGAATTTTTCGTATTTACTATACACTATACTATATTGTAATCAAACATTCTGTAAAACTGCCCCTCTGATTATGTAGTTAAATTCTGAATGTCCATTGTTTATAAAATGTTTCAGGTAAATCCATTAGAAATAAGATATAAAATACATATTTTATTTTTGTTTCATTGTAGGCAAAACCCTGTTTTCCTAAGTGATATGAATAGATACATATTATCAGGAAGGATTTAAATTAATTAGGCACTTTGTTTCGAGTCAATAATGAAATAGATAGAAAAGGAATAATAACGTAAAAAATATCTATTTACGAATTGTGATTTTAAATTCGAGCAATATCGTAATAACTTTCCGCTTGCCTTGTATAGTTCCTGAACGAATAGGTGGAAAAGAGCTCCCAACGCCGTATTATGCGAACTAGTTCACAGATCTTTCACCTCAAGTTCGTCAGTTCTAGTGATAAAATTAAAGCTCTTGTTAAAAAAATATTAATTAGTCTGTGACGCAGCATAAAAATTGATTGCATTAAACTTGAGGTTTAAAAAATGCTATATTTATATTTATAAAAAAAAAAAAAACACTTCTACGCGTAGAAGTTGGCCGTTGACCTAACCAAGCGCCTTTTTTAGACTGAAGTAGGGAAGGAACGAACTAGCTGGCGGAAGATCTGAGAAATAAACAGAGCGCTCAAAGTCGCGAACTATTTTGCACAAGACTACTTTCCACAACGCTACTTATAGACTATTAGATAGATTAGGTAATTGCCTACCTAATATAGAACGACAAGAATTTGAGTCCATCTAGACTGGATAAAAACTATTACAGTAAGGCTAATAAAATATCTAGATAACGTTTACGAAAATCGTTCAATATCTTCTCTTTAAATTTCTCTCTTTGCATACATAAGCGACATATTTTACAATGAGAAGCACCATAAATTCTGTTTTACTTTCATTATTCTCTATTAATTACTCACAACTTAAGACTTAACTATTTAAAGCATCAACATAATTAGAATTGGCACCAAAATAATATACTCGTATAGTATCAATTTATAGTTTCTATCTAATGAAAACAACGATATATCCTGTACATAACTAATTCACAACACACTCATAAGTCTATATGTAAGCTGGTTGTTTAGCTGAATGTTGTAAAGCCGCTAGGACATCGTGTTTGAGCCTCACATATAAACGCCCTTTTCGCCATGGGTTTTGTAATTGAAGCGGTCTAAAATCATCTCTAAGACACCGTTCCCTCGCGCCGATAACGGCGACCAGACAGAAATCTTGAAGTTTCTCAGGGCCATATACTGGGCCCGCTTTTCCTTTTAACACGGCAGCCATGTTGAGTTGTTTCACAACTAAGTCGATAACTTCACGGGCTGACGTACGAGGTGTCACATGTAGTTTCAGTGATGTACCAGCCGCTAAACCAGTTTCATATGCAGCGTAAACCTGGAAATAAATAACGGTTTGTTTATCATTTCATGTTCTTCTGTAGTATTATTAATTTGTAACATAAAATAATACTGGGACATTACAACATATTTTTTAATACAAGTCTAATAAAGTGGTATCATATTACTAGTATCTAGTACATTAAGGATCCTTTTTAGGAATGAATCTAGAGCAAAATTAAAATAAGGAGTATGAGGATATACATGCCTTCATACTTTACGTTCTTCATACTACGCTTTTATAAATGTTTAGTTTTTTTATTATTATCTTTGCGTGAATGTTTTAAAGAATCAAATATTCAACGTTTCTTCTCAATATATCTACGAAAATATTATATATGCCAGAAAAAATATTAACAGTTTTAAAAAAGTAGGTGATTACACTAATAAAAGCTTACGTAATGTCAACAAACTAGTTTTACCTAAGTGCCGTTTGACGAAAGTTAGTAATTCGTTTTATGGAAATTGCGTAAGGTTTTACAACAAACTCCCAGAGTCTGTACTCAATTTGCCAATAAAAAAATCAAATGTGTTATAAAATATTTTCTTTGCAAAAAAGCTTATTACAAAATTGAAGAATTTATAAATGATAATAATGTTTTTGTAGAAAATAACTAACTTAAAATTCATAGCGCTGACAATGTTATCTGATTGAACAGAGATTAAGTGCGTAGCGGTTTCTGTGTTGATTGTCGCATGCCTAATCCTTGTTGTTAATTAAATCAATATTTATTTAAAAGAGCAACAGACAAGTTTCTTGCTCATTCTTCTTGTGATGAATCTGCATTCCGAATAAGCGGTAGAATAAAAAACTTGACTATTCAAAAGTGCTTATATTAAGTTTATTTGAATAAAGATTATTTCTATTTCTATTAGTAGATGAAATATCTCACCTGCAATATACCTGGTTGGTCAGGAGGTCGTTGATCTGAAGCTGGATTAACATGTTCTTCGCTGTCACTCCTCTCATCAGTCTTAGGAACCTTATTGTTATATTCGACGTCTTCTTGGGTCTCCAACAATGGTTGTCGCTTCACACATAAATTTGTTTTTGGGTACATTTCTTGACCAGTATCCGTGTAATCGACGTCGGATGATTTCACATTGGTCATGCTCTTGGACGCGATTACGTTACACGAAGTCCTATAATGCTTTCCCTGCGGACGGATTTTTAATGGAACTGATGTTATTGGACAGCTTTGGCTTTCTGAGTCACTCGACAGACTCTGGGCGGATTCGGAGACGTTGCATTTGGAGGCTCTCATACTTATCATGCTCCCTGGATAGTAACCTTTCACTGTCAGTAGGGGACTTGAGGTGTTTGATACGCTAGTATTAATACTGTGTGGACGAGGTTTTTGCTCCACATTTTCGTTTTGTAGCACTAAGGTGCCTTCACTCCGAGAAGGTGGTAAACGATTACTAGTATGAGATGCATTAGATTTTATGTCAAACTGCGAATTGCTGCTCACGTAATTATTGCTCATAGGACTCGATTGGGTGAATTGAGAATCAGCACTGCTTTTTCTACTCGAATATTGGTTTTCAGCATTCAAATATTGCGAACTAGTTAGGTTAAGTGTTGATACAGATGTCTGTCGGGGTGCCAAACTTAGTTGCTGTTCAGATTTACTAAATTCTGGGTGTAAATTCGCATGGTTCCCGTTGCCAGCTGGTCCAGGCCACGACCCTCGTCCAGGTGACAATTTGGTTATTTTGCCATCTCTCGCAGGTATTTGAAGGAAGTCTACTTTCAAGTTGGAATCTGTGTAATTGGTATCGCTACTATCAGGATATTCTTTGTTTAATTGTGACGCCGTCTTATCGAGTATATATTTCAGGAGTATACCAGAACTTGACACCGCTTTATCTTTATCCCTCGCGAAGCCTATTAAATCCATAAGCCACCGTTCTGCTTTCCACACTGTGTTAAGATTATTTTGAAGGTCTTCTAATTTACTCAATCGTTCTTTGGCTGTTTGCATTTCTGTGCAAGAGAATGCCTCTCTATGGGAATGGGCGGCTAAGGCTACGTCTAATTCTAATATACAACTAAGTTTGGAGTATTTGTTTAGGATATTCGTATGGTACGTCTGCAGGTGTATCATTTCGAATGCCTGGATGGGTAGGCTGAGCAAATCGCCTTTTTGTAGGAGTATCTCTTTTTGACCAGGCACTGAGCAGGCTTGTTCTGCTGGTGGACATATCATTACGAAACTGACATCGTTATTAAGTTCTATGACTTCGAGATCATATATTCGGTGGGCGATAACACATTCGATGGGGATCTCCATTTCCTTGAAGAGTCGTCGTGCTGCAGACGCGATCTGGTCTAGGAACATTTCTTGAGATTCTGACGGTTTCTCCGGACTGTCGCTGATCGGTACAAGACTGTTTCTTGGCTGAACTTCTTCACTGTACACTTTGCCAGATTGGTTTCTTAGGTAATCCCATTCTTCGCTGTAAAAGAGCAGAAATAATGAAAATAATGAAATATGATTACAAAAAAAATATTTAAGTAGGTATAATATTTCTTATTGTTGTCTAGTACCCGTAACATAAGCCCTACTTAGAACTAGATGGCGCTGTGTGATTTATCTACGGTCATTATTATTATTACATACTAGCTGTGCCCGCGGTTTCATCCGCACGAAATTTATAGTCAATGTATATTCTGATGTACAAATTACATTATTGTAAAGGTTCATTAAAATCCATTCAGTAGTTTTTGCGTGAAAGAGTAACAAACATCCAACCATAAACACACGATAAACCACAGTCACATACGTCCGCGTTTAAAATACAAAATTAATAATAATTATTATTATCTCAGGACAATTCACATAGGACCATCTAAACCCAAATTAAGCTAGCTAAAGCTTGTGTTGTGGGCACTAGATAACTGATACAAATATATAGATATTTTTTTTTTGTAAATACATACATATTATACATAGAAAACATCCAGACCGATACAAACAAACTCATGAATACAAATGTTTGTGCTGTGTGAGGAATTCAGCCCGCGACCTTCGGAAGTAAGGCGGTGTGACCGCAGAGCACCGAGGCAATCAAATTAGTTAAGATGGTTGGCAGTTAGAGATAACTTACGCAGAGATGTGCGGGTTGTCTCGCACCCTTGTGTGCGGCGGCACGTTGGGGGTGCGAGCGGGCGCCACTATTCGTACCACTTCCACAGACGACTGCAGCTTTAGATAACCCAGGTACAACCCTCGGGGCAGCTGAACTCGAGATACCTGATACAATAATAATAATATTTCAATATTATACATAAACATAACTACTTCCTATCTGAGAGAAATGATTTATGAATGGAAAGGTATACCAGAATGTAATAAAATATACATATAAAATGTATAAAGGAAAGACTTCTTGTATATATACATTTTTCTTTATATATGTATATATATACACCATATATATACATATATATAAAATATCGCCACTTTTGAATTACGCAACGGATTTTAATGTAGTATTCAGAGTGATTTTATATACAGATTCTATAAACAGTCTATGGACTATTATCACTGAGGGAAGGAGGAAGTGGTAATTGAAATTTTAATCATATATGTATCAATATGTTCTCAATATATTTAGAAAACGCCTGATGGCATTCTTTACTGATCGTCGCATTGATTAGAGATATTGAGGCGACGCAATTTAATAATTTATAGTAACATATAAAAACAAAGAAATACAGTCAAATAATATATATATTTAATAACTAACTGGCCCTTTGTGTCATTATCATCATCATCACACTTACTTGATATGTATTTAAATTATAGCCTATGTGATGTATAAACTATATTATTGTAAAGTTTGGTCAAAATCAGTTCAGTTGTTTTCGCATGAAAAAAAAACATCCATTCATATTCACAAATTTTCACATTTATAACACTAGTAAGATATATTTACTAATATGTCTTCAATATATTACTCAATATACCTGATGGTAGGCGATCTGATCGTGCACGGACGCCATCAGCAGCTCCCCCATGGTGTTGTCGTCGCTGAGTACGCGTCGCCGCAGCCTGTTCACAGCCGCCCACCGCGAGTTCAGCGCCGACACACACTTGGCCGATTTGACACTCGTCACCACAGATATCACAACCGTTCCGTGTGAATCGCGCAGTGGCTTGTGATATAATTGTCCTGATAAACGTAAGAAGATGTTATTTATGTATTTTTTGGGACGGGCAGCAGTAGGAAAGAGAGATGTGAAGAGGTAACACCAGTCGTGGCTTTATATTTATATATATATTTATATTTTAGATATTTACAAATGATACACATTTTTGTTCCGAAATGACACGCTTGTTATAAGTCCATGAGTAACACAAAATATTTTATGTTTGTATGTGTTTAATTGAAGTATTTGGTCTGATATATTATATAAGACTCACATATCTCAATACTTGAATATAAATAAATATATAATAATAATTATAATTCCATAAATAATAACAATAATTCCAGTTACATAAAAATATGATGTACAGATATACGAACCTAAGTCTTGTATGCAGAGAGCGGACTGCATCTGCGCAGCTGCTGTGAGTAATTTCAATCTGAAGTGTATAGAGGAAGACGTGTGTTTCTCCATATCCGCTCGAAGACCTTTCACATCATCCCAACAACATGACACCTGGAATTAAGCGCAAGTTTAGTCATTACATAGCGTGTATTATATATAATGTATACGTTTATAATATATTTTATATTTGAATACCTTTATTTGAATAAAGATTTTATTTATTTCTTTAATACAGAAACATGTGTACCAATTTATTGAAGGAAGGATGACATTCACAGAAGTACAAAACTGTGTTGCGAATATTGACGCCTTCTATCGAGTTTATATAATTCCAAAATATACATGCTATGACGATGCCCACATAACGATAGTCTAATAAAATTTATAATACTTTTAAATTTACCAAAAACAAAGAGAATTGAACTTATAAACAAAACAAAAAGAGCCTATGCCTGATTTTGATATGTAAGCAAAAAAAGCATTGTGTTTGTGAATGTGTGTGTGTGTTTGTGTGAGAGAGAGGGAGTGGGTAGTCTATGATTATTTCTATTTCAACAAATTGCTAAATTAAAACTGTCTGTAGATCTTAGTACCTTCATTAGCCAATGGAAGTCAGCATAGATGCAAGTCGGGTAGGTCTCATCCACTTCGATGACAGGCAGGAACTCCTCGCTAGTCACCAGCACCTTGTCTTCATGGTACAGAATGCACGCCAAGTATACACCTCTGAAAGTATTAGTTTTTTTATAATACAATTATTAATTTATAACTATTTAATTTATATTTATTCATCACATCTTGCGCCATCCACCACCTTCTGTCTTTTCTTCTCTACCCAAAGGTTGTCTGGAAGTAATCGCTTAAGCGACAAGACCGCCTTTTGTACCTAGATACTATGAATATTGTTTGGCTTTGTATTTTTTATTCTATTTTATTTTTCTTATTATTGACGGCCTCGGTGGTCTAGCGGTTTAACACACCGCTTTACTCGCCATTGTCGCGGATTCGACTTACACAGGCACAGTACAAACATTTGTATTTATGAGTATGATTGTTTATACTCACGAATACAAATGTTTGTACCGTGCAAATAATCGAACCCGCAACAACCTGAAGTAAAACGGGATGACTCAACACCGAGGCTGTCAACAAAGAAGAAATAACGAGTTCCGAGGGGTGCAGAAACAGTACCTATAGTGAAAAATAATATAAATAATAATTACCTCCGTAGATTCTTCTGGAACTTGCTAGCCGCTGTAAACAGCTGTCGTATAGTGGCGGTCTTCTTGCGGGAGGCCCGGGGCGGAGGCGCCGGTGGCCGTGAGCGGGCGCCCGCTGCAGCGCTTGCGAGCGCTTCCAGCGCTGCGGCCGCTCCACCGCTTTCACCGCGTATAGCTCTGCTTGATACATCACGCCAGCCTGGCGAAAAAAGTCAAAGTTAAGATCATTTATTGAGGACACTTGCCAGTTACATACGTCAATTTTTGAAATCATGATTCGAGTAATGAATGATCTGGGTTTTGATTTTGGCGACTTGATTTAGAAAATGAATGGAATTATTCATACAACATTATATTTTTTATGATTAGTTTATTATAAATCCTATCGGATTTATTTGATATAATGGAAAAAGGATTTTCAAATGTGATTGGTAGTTTTAGAGATATGCCCATCAAACAGCCAAAGCAGGGTCAACAACCCTTTAACTTCTGCATCAGCTGCGCGTAGCCACAATATGCAGTGTAGTGATTAATCATTTCAATAATGGAATCTTTCTCTCTCGTTTCCTTTCGGCTGAACGTCTATGTGAAGATTTTCCCACACGTTAATAAAATGGTCTCTATAAAGGGTAAATAATTGTACCTATACAATATAGATATAGTATATTCCTATATGAATAAATAAAATGAACACTCACTACTGGGCACAACGCTCCTTGGCACGGAAACCGTAAACGGCCCCCAGCCCTTGATGTTCCCGGCGGAGGCTCTGAAGAAGTACCGGCGGCCCCTGGTGAGGCCGGCCGCCAGCACCCTGGTGCCGCTGTTGGCGCCGGTGGCGGCCACGTCACAACTACCACACACGTTAGAAAAGTCCGCGCGCGATGACCATTCAACTGAAATTAAACATTTTATATATTTTAAATCACAGTAATCTTACTATTAACATTATAAACGGGAAAGTTTGTGAGTATGGATGGATGTTTGTTACTCTTTCACGCAAAAACTACTGAATAGATTTTCATAAAACTTTAGAGTAATATAGCTTATACATCAGAATAATATATAGGCATTTTATATTGAAATTAAACGTGGGTAAAACCGCAGGCACACCTAGTAACAATATAAACGCGAAGGTTTGTGAGTATGGATGGATGTTTGTTACTCTTTCTGAACTTTATAGTAATAAAGCTTGTACGTTACAATAACACATAGGCTATAATTTAAAATATATTATGTCAATTGGGCGAAATATACTGATAAATGTTAAATATGTTTGATGCAGACGAAGTTGCCCAGGTCAGCTAGTCAGTAATAAATACACAGTAACGAGTAGGAGGCATACGATAATCAATATATGACACCGCTACGCACTCATTCTTTGTGCCATCTGATAATATTGTCAGCTCTATGAAATTTAAGTTTTTCTATAAAAACATTATTATCGTTTCCAAATTCCAGACTAGCTACCAGCCTCGGCTTCACAGGGGTATTCATGTATTTTACATATAAACCTTCCTCGCGTAGTTTACAAGATATTATTAGTAATATTTTTTTTGTTCCGTAGATAAATTCGTGGTAGATTAGTTTTTTTTAACAGGGTACAATAACTGTATACAATTATAATGCAAGAATTACAAGCAAAGGAATAACTTTATACTTCTATTATTTCATGTCGCGCTATTTATAATATAACATACAGCTTTGTTTAGTCTACACTTTTACAGTGTGTACAAATTACGCATAGCGTTAACAAATACAGTACACCCATTATAGCTATACATTTCCCATAGCAAGATACTGTTCAAACTTGACATAATAAGCCTCGGGGTAATTGAACAATGAGAAAGTGTAGCGACAATTGTAATAACTTTGTTACACTTGTTGTTACGTAACTCATTGTTATTTTAGTCCTTGTATTTAGGTAGTGCTTATACGAACGCAAATAGTATTATTAATAGTTTTAAAAAGTGTAACAATGCTTTTGTTTATATGACGGCCTCGGTGGTCTAGTGGTTTAGCACACCGCTTTACTTCCGAGGTCGCGTATTCGGAAAATTATATCGTATCGTATTCGTATAGGGAAATTACTATTTTTTTGCAATTAGTTTTCCTGGTGATCAATATATGTATAGAAAAGTTGATTCTTGACATCCCATGAACTGTTGTTATAATATAATAGGGGTTAATTGGTTTCCACGAAATCTAATAAAAGAAACAGGCCTATGGAGCTACAATTTTTTTTATCTAAGTGCAATGATAAACAACATCGTCTATTCTCTATTATTAGATGTATTATTCATTCTCCATTTATAGCATGGGTTCCAGGGAGTCTTTGCGAGAGTGCTGTAAGGAATCAAATATCCTCACCGATACATCTCAATATATTTATGAAAATATCATGTATGCCAGGAAGAATATAGACAGTTTCAAAAGAGTTAGTGATTGCACTAATAAAAGCTTACGTAACAATAACAAACTGATTTTACCTAAATGTCGTTTGGCTAAAGTTAGTAATTCGTTTTATGGCAATTGCGTAAGGTTTTACAACAAAATACCAGAGTCTGTTATAAATCTGCCAGAAAAAAGATTTAAATGTCAAATAAAACACTTCCTTTGCAAAAAAGCTTACAATAAAATTGAAGAATTCGTTAACGATAATAATGTTTTTGTAGAAAAATTTTAAATACATAGCACTGACAATATTATCTGATTACACTAATAATGAGTGCGTAGCGATTTCTATGTTGATTGTCGCATACCTCTTACTTGTTACACTGTAATTATTTATATAAAAAAATCATCTATTAAAAAGAGCAACACACAAGTTTCTTGCTCATTCTTCTTGTGATGAATCTGCATTCCGAATGAGCGGTAGAATCAAAATATGACTATTCAAAAGTGCTTGTAATGAGTTTATTTGAATAAAGATTATTTCTATTTCTATTTCTATATACATGAAAGACATCAGGTTTACAAATGACGTTAGCATTGCCATTCTAGAGGACTAAGATGTCATGCCTGTTATCCTGTAATTTCACTGCCAAATCTGCACCCTACAATCGAAACACTGCTTACAAAGCAACTTGTTGGAATAGGTAAGACTGAGGTATCCATGTTGACGACGTTTTACAGTTTTAATAATATTAATTCTTTTATATTTGGTATACATATTGATTTATGAGAAATAGTTAGAATATAAGATAAGTAATAACTTTTTAAACCTATACCAGTGTACATTAGTACGCTTAATTTTAATAATGTTTTTTTTTTATTTTAGACTCATGTGCCGCCTACTCTATTTTTAGTAATACACTCTTTCCTAACGTTGTCTGGAAGAGATTCGTTAGCAATAAGACCTTCTTCTGTACCTTCTTCTTTCTATAATCTATTGTTACATTTTTCAATATATCTACTTTGAATGTTGGTGCAATACAGCATTATAAAGAAACTAAAAATAAAATACACTTTATTTGTAACATACAGTAAAGAAAATACATAAGCAATATATTAAGGAACAGATTATACACAATTATAATAGGCGGTCTTATTGCTAAAAGCAATCTTTTCAAAGGCAACCTTAGGGAAACGGATTTATATATCGCATAGGTAAGTAATATGTAAACACGAGAGAAGAAAATAAAATAACATAGAAAATGAATTGAAAGAAAATAGTAATAAGTATAATAAGAATCACAATGTATGTAAATGTTATGTAATTGTTTTTTTCTTTATGTGAGAGGAACAATCAAGAGTTTTTCATTTAATTTCATTAAATAGTTGGTGTTTACGGAGGGTTGCCATCCGTCCGGGTTTCCCCGGATTTGTCCTAGTTTAAAGGGCATCTGGGGAGCGTCCGGGGTAATGTAATTTTTTTTAGGTTTTATATTAAAATATATTAATAATTTGTGTTTTATTTTAAGAACAAAAAAAAATCGACCTGACTATTAAAACAATTTGTAATAAAAAAGTGTAAAAATATTTTGTTTTGGTACTTTTAAAATTATGATAAAAAATTATTACATTTAATTTTAGGGTCTGAAAATAAATAAAAAGGTGATTTATGTCATTTTTAACTGATTTTATTATACTATGTTTAAAAAAACCTGTAGACATGTCCGGGTTCTGTACTCTAAAATCCGTCGTTTCACGCGTCTTGTCCTGGTTTTCAAATTTTAGAGATGGCAACCCTATGTCTACGTAACGTATGAAAATCTTTCAATATGAACACTCACCTCTAAATTTAGTAACAATGGGCGGGTCTCTCTGTGCTGATGACGTGGTACGGGACTCCCGGAGTCTCACGGAGACTGCGTGGGCACTGCACACTTCTAAGTCGGGTGGCGGAGGAGCCGCTGGTGCTCGAGATTGCTGCCAGCCTAACACCAGACGTCTGGAAGAATAAAGGAATTCACATTTATGAGCCAACTTCATAGTAGTTCATAGAACTGTAGGTTTATTTATCACTTCCGGTTTTTCAAGAATAGTGGGGCACAAGATGGCGGTATATGAACGGTGACTCGAACAAAAAGGCGTTATACGAGCAGCCCACGAACAAAACGGACGAGTTGTGAGCAGGTTTCTAATATAGATACAAAAGCCTACAAAAATATGCGTAGGTATATTAGATACTAGATTAAAGATGTTTATAAGCAGATATACTATATATAGATAATTGATTGATGTATATTCTAACGTATATCCAAACGTGTTATTAAAATTGACAGCATTTTGCCATTGTACAGAAATGATGAAAAATTTGTATCAAAATCGAAAACTCTTAAATTATGAATGAATAGAAAACAATGTATTTATGTATTTCTATCAGTTGTCTAGTACCCATACACAAGCTTAGCTTTGAAATAGACGGGTGTGTGAGTTATTATTATATAAGAGACAAAGTACACAAATTACAGATACTATGGAAATATAGATTTTATGACATACTATACTATCGAAATATAGATTTTGTGGAAACTTAATCTTCGGAATTTACCTACGTAGATTTTGTGTAACATAGATTTGGTAAGATAGGTTTCCCTAGCTTTTTTTAATTTGATTGATAGATTGATTTTATAAAATTTAATTTACTCACTTCAGGGTACGCACTCTCCTTTCCCAGTGTTGTGCTTGTTTGTCTTTCTCAGAGCCGGCGCCACCAGCGCAGCCCGTGGTACCAGCTGCCTGACCGCCAGCTGAAGACCTGGAATTATACGATCAGTAGGTTAATCCATCGGTACCAAATGATCAATATTTTTTTTACTTCGTAGATGCAAACTCTAAATTCTACTTCTACTGTTTATTGCTTTTTGTACTATTTCTTTGGACAATAAAGTTATTTAAAATAAAAATATTGTAAGTATCTGCTTCGCCATTTTTGGACATACTCACTACCATATCTCACCAACCAAACATTCGCTTTGCCCTGCAAAACATAAAACAGAGGGCAACTCTGTCTGGGCACGCAGACGATTTCGTATACATTCTACAACTGATTTTTTTTCTATGTAATTGGCATGACAAATAATCTGACGATCCATCTGAAGGTAACTGTCGCCTATATCCATGAACAGTACTACGGACATCACTTTATCCGTGACAAACGTGATATCTTGTCATTCCAGAGTACTAAAACGTCATGTTTCTTATGGTGTGATTTTAATTTAAATTGCTAATAAATATATATTAAATACTAGCTATCCCGGCAAACGTTTTGTCATATAAATGCAGGTACTAATATCGATTTTAAGACATAGGGGTTGGTGGTAGAGTGCTGAAAATTTAGGGTTGTAAGTATTTTTAATGCCACATTATAAAAAAAAATGCCCAAAGAAGAAATATAAAATGTTAGGGGTGAACAACCCTTCACTTAGGGATATGAAAATTAAACAGTAGGCAATTCTCAAACCTACTGAATATGAATATAAAATTTCGTAAAAATCGGTCTAGCCGTTTCGTAGGAGTATGGTAACTAACATTGTGACGAGAATTTTATATATAAGATGTTGTACCTTGTGCAAGTATCATCACGACAGCTTTTATCCTGGGTACAGCCGACCACCTCGTGGAGTCGCGACTCAGCTTCTCTCGTCAATCGCCGTAGATGCGCACCTAATGCTTCTGGTATTTTAACTGTAACAAACAATATTAATAAATAAAAAAGTACATAAACTTCATATGAACACTATGAGGGAGGGAGACTATACGAAGACTGTACGTTATGAATACATCTATCTCTTTCGCTCTCTGCCGTTACGCCACTACTTAGAAATATAAGTCTTTTTTTGAAATTGTTATCGCAAATATGGTGACGGGTTTCTGATGCACAGTGGTAATATTGATACCACAATACACTGGTGTTTTAAAACAACAACAGATATGCCGGTCCCATACTAATAACAATATGATATAATAATAATGCAACTAAATTGCTTTTTGAATACAGTCTACACTGAAGAGTAATTTCTGAAGACTATTCTAAGGTTTCAGTGACCAAAGAATTACTACATTCTTTGATCAACAGCGTTGTCAACACGGGCCGTACGGCTGATCCTGATAATGAGAATCTATTATACAATTAGTTCATTTTAAGGCCTAACCATATACATTAGGATAGAACGCCCTAATACCTAAAAAAAGTAACGACGTATAAATAATAAAAAATATTTCGATAAAAAGCTGTCTTATTACATTTATTAATAATTTAATTAATTAATTTGATTGACTTCTATTGATTAGATATTTAATACCTGTGCCTTATTAGTTATAATTTTCCATTCAGAAAAAAAATAAGCAGAGTATAAGCACAGATAACGAAATCTCATTACGTCACAGCTGCGGATGATTGTATTACCTAACGGATTTGACGCATTGTGAATAACCTACTGATACTGAATGAAAAGTTATTTTTCATATAACTGGAACTGCAAACAAGCTGATAGCCAATTTGATAAAACAAATGGCAATCGTCGACTATAGAGGGAGAAGGGATTGTTAGTAAAGCTATTCATCTATCTATAGGCGATGGTAAACGTTTATGTGAATAACATTACTACCAATATATTCTTTGGGTAACCTCCACGCCCCCATCCTGGGAAACCATCGTCGCCATTTTCTGGTCTAGCCCTCGATGGGCTAATTGTTATTTTTCATATAACTGGATTTGCATATCGCTAAAAAGGGGGTTCCAAGTCGCCTATTTACATGAATAGCATCTTTATTTATTAAATTATTCATTTGAATTCCCTAATCTTGGATATCATGTGTAGCTATGTTATAGAACCTAAAAACTCTTAAATGAACTTACTAATGATAGTTACTAAATTATTTCCACCTATCGAGATATAAAAAACCTTTTTTTTTCAGAGTTATAAATGCAAGCTCTAGAAATTAAAATGAATGTATTGTAGACCCAAAATTTCAATAAAATATGTAATATATTTACGCGTATATATATTATGAGGTAACAACAAATAAGCTGTTAGCTGACTCTTCCTCTAAAGTTACCCGTGGTTGAACAATCGTTCATTGCCTTTACATTTCGGTCTTCACGACTCTACATATGTAGTCACTTTTAGACAATAACGGAAATAATTACAAACTACGTAGATAACGTAACATAATTTTCGTAGATGATTATATAGAAAAGAATAGAATAAAAAAAATATTCAAACAAATCTAAATTTAAGTACTTTTTATTACTCCTACATATTTTTACTACCGCTCATTCGTAAAGCACAAGAAATCACCATAACGATAATAAACGAATGTGTCGCCATTTAAAAAATGTATGGTCACAACAAATATTTGTAAATTAAAATTTTTAAGTTGAAATCTTTGAATATAAACTACTAAATATGATATATGTACTTATGCTTCAGTTTTCAATTTTACAAATTTTTAACATATATAATTCAACTATTTCCAAATGTACATTTAGTTGAAATATAAATATTTAGTATCAACACTGTGTGTGAAGGTAAATATTTTGCAGTTCAATTCTCACAACCCATGTAATAATAATTACCACCATTATCGATATGATCTCATATTGTTACTTATTTATCATATATACGTCATCATATGAATAGCTAACCACCTAATACAGTAAGCAAATAATCATTACGTTTAAGCTTATAGAATGTGACGTCACACTCGAAAATACCAATCGTAACGCCACTATACGATACGATAACGATAGCAGAATCAAAAACAATAACGAATGCGATTGTCCGATAACCGTTTGATAACGGCATTTATTGAGAGTTTATTATCTCCGCCAATGTCAATAAACTACTATTTTGATTACCACATTGACAGATGATATATGTAATAATCATAAAAATAGGACAGTTCCAATGTTGTCCACTTGACTAGAAAATAAAGTTATAGTTCATCGTTTTATCTCAGAATCAAATTTGCCATTACCTGTGTTGCTAGCTTCTCGCAATTCTAAAATAGTGTTGTGGCTAGGGCTGCCAACTATAGTGTTTTAAACAGGATTACACTTTGTACTGTTGAACAAAAATAATGTTTTCAGCATTTACTGAATAAGTACTAAGTGGCGGGATGATAGAAATAGAGCATCTATTGATTTAATAAAAATGAGCTCCTCATTTATTTTAATTTCAATTGTAATTGTGGTGAGGCGTATGATGTTTTTACAAAGCTTGTAAATTAGTAAGTTGTACGAGAAGCTTTAAAAAATATGTAAGAAATAATAAATAAATATAGGGTTGTTTTATCAAAATATATTTATTTTAATTGACATTTAAGTTTGAATTGTAACAGTAACTTTAGTGTACGTACATACACTGGTGTGAATGGTGTATCTACCTGCGCCACAGCGCACTGCAGATGTTAGAATGAGACGTCAAGTCTACTCAATAAACCAATCACGATGATTTCACCAGGAATTAAGTATGATGGTTTCTAGAACGCCTGGAAGTCGATCCGACGTGATAGATTTTGTAGCAATAGAGGGGTATTTCCCATTACTAACACCCCCAACAAACAATTATGACAATTTAGACGGACAAAAAGTACGCTAATAACTGTACTTTGACGGACAAAAAAGTACGCTGATAACTGTAATACGGGTATGTAGTCCCTAAACCATTTTCATTTAGTAACTGCTGAATCTTTGATATAGTGAATAATACAAAATCTGACGGCACATTTTATATTTCGATGCTCGCTTACCTGCTTGCGGGATTGGCACATGAAGGCATGCACGTAATGTTTTATTTACAGAAAACTTTTTGTAACCGACGAGGATTCGAGAAAATTCCCTTTGGGGACGTTTATTAAATGCAAATCACGTTTTCCTAAATCAGTGATTCTCAACCTTTATTTGACTAGAGACCATTTGATTTCTTTAGACATAAAGATATTACACTACGTAGTCAATACTGCATATAAATAGTATATAAATGTATCTGGGATAATGAAGGACATATGTAGATTTCGTATATCGGTCAATTATAGTGAAGGAGGTATATTTCTTAATAAATAGTTAGAATAAAGTAAACTTGGAATTTTCATTCTGTCCACCGCCTTAATACAGTATTCACTGTCGTTTTGAACATATCTACCAAAATATTAAATGCTAATGGATAATATATGTAATAATATATCTATATACGACCTCCATCACATACACTGTAGATCCGAACGAAGCCTAGGTAGGTTGCTAGTTACTTAATATATTAAAAAAGAAATAGTACAATTAACTGACGGATTCATTTCATATTGTAACGTCAAACACCTCGTTCCTCGCGTTCATTATTACTAAATGTGTAATTTGAATTTAGAACGTATAATTCGAAAATGAAAACTTATCGCGAAGTATAATTTGGATTTATCGGACAATTGTGGGTCTGTGGACTATTATTTGGGAACCACTGTCTCGACGACTCGTATGGGGGAGGTGTTAGTACAGTGAGTTTAGGGATTTGCTTAGTGAACCATTTCCGGCGACGTTTTATTCATTGTATGTCTTTCACATCTCGTTAAGGTTTCCGTATGTTGCGAATAACTGAATTATTTCACTGAGTTTTCTTATCTGTGTACTATGTTTAATAAGGGTTTTGTAGTTAGATAAGTTGTTTTCGTGTTATCTTTCATTAGCTTTATCGTTTTATCGCGTTTAATTACACGGTAACAGTGTCGGTCGCTGTGATTTGAAACGGTCCTCTGGTCGTCGGAATACCAGTGTTAGTTAGTTGTCTAGGCTGTAAATTACCATTTTTATATGAGATCAAGTCGATAGTAATTTTTAATTAATAGTAATATTAATAATCCAGGGTAATTTCATTACCTCTGAGTTAGCCTATTAATAACATTAATAACCCATGATATTTCACACAACGCCTTATATCCCTAAGGTAAGCAGGATTTGTGTTAAACAACTGCTAAATATATAATGTACACTTCTGAGTGTTTCCATTTATGAATACAAGAATGAAATTCAAATAATGAATCTAAAAAGGATAAAAAGCTAAAGCTGTATATCTCTTTCTAGATAGCAGAACTTTTAGTGCGAAGGCAAAGAAATATGAGTTTTAAAATGTAACTAGTAGAACTCAATATTATTTTTTAGTTTAACTACGAACAATAGTGTTAATTAATTATGTATATCTGTCACTTGCTCCGTAATTAAACTCTGCACCCCTTTCATTAGCTCAGACAAATCCAATAATCTAATACATTATTATTAGCCAAGAAAGCGAACGCTAGTTTTCGGTTTTCCGGCAATGACGGCATACATAATTTGTAGTAACTCATCCATTATTACAGGGAGACGTGATTTACTTTCGAGGAAAACAGTATTTACTTGTTTTTCGAACAATAGGAAATATTGTTAGATCAGAGAGTAAAGAGAAGACGCGGGAACGGGGAATAACGTGTAAATTATATGATTGTATGTATATTATTATATTTATTTATAAATAAATAACTCTGAACAACTCAGACAGCGACATTTAATCCTAAACTAAGCAGATATTACTATGCGTACTAGAAAATTGATAGTAATTCAATACATTTTATTTTAAAATGTGTTTTTTTTATATCACGATGATGCATCAAGCATATGGCCCATCTGATGGTTACCGTAATCTATGGACGCCTGAAACACGTGGGGCGTCACGTGCTTAATGTTGACAATTGAAAATGATTACAGTTGTGAAGATACATACATGTGTTATATTTAGGTATGAGATGTACCGTGGACTAATAATGGTTTATTATCATGACTTAGATTCAATGTACTGTTATAAATTTGATGCAGTCATTATTCATACGTATTCTTTAGTTTACACGTGATCATGCCGGTTGAAACACTGCCGAAATATCGGCCGACAATATGAGATTCAATGGTCGTGAGTTCATATCTGGTCGATATTAAAAAAACATCTGTGTGGAATATTGTCTCTGACCAACTCCCTGATGGAAAAGCTATATGTATGTAAGTGAAGGCGGTAGGCTCGCCCTCTGCTCTATTGGATTCAACCACTACGTAATTGACAATTGACAGTGTCTCTGTTTCAACCATCTATTATAACATCTAGGATAACAGTTGTGATATAGGTATGTAAGATATATATAGCATCTGTAAGATATAAATTTTATTTACTCCCGTCTGAAACTATTACTTATAAATAATATTAAAATACCATCCTGATCATCTGGATGATGCCGGTCCTTCACCGTGTGTTAAATCCAAAACTTTCTGCAATGGTATTTCCGAACGGATACTATAGTGCAATCTTCAAGAAAAGAGCTTATTCCTTATTAAAAAGCCGGCAACGCCCTTGCAATTCCCCTGGTGTTGTGGGTGCTCATGGAGGGCGGTTAATACTTACCATCAGGTGACCCGCAAATTCGTTTGTCCCTTATGCTATAAAAATATATATTACAGAATTAACATAGCACGTAAGATACTTACACTGACTGCCTTCTTTCGCCCCAAACTCCATAAGCATCTTGGCAAGACCTCGATTGCTGGAGAGCACTGCCACATCCAAGGGTGACAGTCCATCGGCGTTAAGACTGTAGATAAAAATAATATCATTAGTATATAATTTTTTATGTAACAGAATTTATGAATATTAGTATTGCGGGAAACATAGAAGAAGGGATAACGGCGGGAAACATAGGAGGCGCAGGGAAGACCAAGGTACAGCAAGTTACATTAAGCAAATTAAATACAAAATTGGGGTCGTGTATCAACATTTAAAGAGCATGATGGAAGTGGCAAAAGCTCCACAGAGAGCTTGGCTCTTAAATTATGAATGACTGAATTGGAATGGAGAATAAGCTTACGACCTACTTGATGAATAGTGCACCTCGTTATTAAAACTAAATTTCATCATTTTTTAAATCTTAAAAATGTATTATTATATATTATGGCTTCGCTTATATAAAAATAAAACCTTATTTTTTTTTATACTACTATTTTTCACTTGGTCATGGCATCACACGTGAATGGTTGTACCGATTTCGCAATTTTTTTGTTGGGTTTGTTATTGTAAGCAGAAGGTTCTTATGAAACAAAAAAATAGGAAAGTTTCGCGGATTTTTTTTATTATATATACCAATGCGAATTCATATTCATAGTTAAAACTGGGTAACGTATGTCGGGATAGCTAGGGTAACATATTTAAATAGACGGCCTATCTAGAATAAAATCGACAGCATAAGGGACTCTAAAAGTAAATTTAAGTAAAATTTACCTGTTGACATCCACGTCTGTAGAATCCAATATGTTTCTTGCTTTATCCAAATAACCATGTTCTACAGCCGCAAATAAAGCTGAAACAAGAAGAGTACTATTTTTATACACACAGAATAATTATTATCATTTATAATATTAATAATAACACAGAACAATTCACAGCGCCATCACGTTCCAAGGAGCTAGCTAAGGAGAGATCTTTTGTCAGACCAGACAGTCGTAGTCTGGTCGCTGAAAAGTCAACACTAGACTTCCTATCTAATTACCATATTCCATCAGGTCGACCAGTGATTGATTTAAAACTTTTTTGTTTCTTCTACATTCATCTATTCATGTTGGCCGATAGGTGATCAGCTTACTAAATATAAATGTAATAACATAGATCTGTTCCATGGATTTGTATTTATTACCAATTTTTTCTAATGCTGTTAGGCGCAACTGCCTTTTACAGCTTTACCGAACGATAGGGGGCGAGTGCAGCTGACACTCTAAACCCCGGCAGGACTTATGGATCGGCTGAAGGCCATCTCCTGCCTGACGGATTCGAGTTTAGTCTGAGGGCACCGCTAGGGCTTTGTACGTCGGCTCAGACCGTCGTAATTTCTATCCCTTTTAAATTGGACGGGGGATCGCTCGGAGGGAGCATTCATTGACAACAATTATGATAAGATAATAGATTTATTTCAGGCTTTATAAGTCTATCGGTATCTTAAAAATAAAAGATGAAATGCAAAATAATAATAAAACAAAAAAAATAATACCATGCAAATGTATGTTAACTTGTGCAATTTTATCTTGCTGTGCGCGCGCGTCCTTTTGCTGACGTCGTGATGCTTTATCTAAGTTGGGGGGGAGCGGGGCGCATGCACTTAGCGACGGCAGCTCCCCCCCACAACCCTCGAGGAGTGCGCCGTATTGAAACTCTAAAGAAAACAAAACAAAAGAAAATTATAGAAAAAAAAATGGAACAAAAAAAAACTATAAACAAAAATTATTTGAATAAAGAAATAAACAAAATTATTTAGAAATACAAGAAATCAAATCAAAAGCACATAATATGGCAAATATAATTGCAATTTAGAAATAAAACAACATTGGGTAGATATTAATTAAAGTAAATAATGAAAAATATATGAAAATAATAACTTGAAATTCTTATGAATTGTGAACGGAAACGTGTTTGCATTGTGCAGCATCTTAAGTGTATGCCTTTGACTCCATAAAGGAGGGCATACAGTGAGTAAAATATTTTGTACATTGTATCAAATCAAAAAATCTTTGTTCATCAATCAAAAATACATTGTATCAAATCAAAAAATTGTTTACTTATATCACTATAGGTATTCATTATCCAATATTATAATGAAATTATAATAACTTTCGTCTAAAACATAAGTAAGATTGTATGTATTACAATGATTTCCTAGTGTCATCGGTAGGCAAAATTTAAATGACTCAATAGCCCGATGAACAAGCAACAATATGTTTTTTATCTGACAAATGATTTATTATTTCAGTCAAAGGTACAATTTTCTTATGTATTGGAAATACCTATGGAGATGCTGATAAAAATGTCATTATGCTTACGAAAGATTTATTTCAGATTTGTTTTGACGGTAGCTCTAAGCTATCTATGATTGTTGCTTTATATTCGATGATAGGTCCGCTACATCTCGAATATAGGCATCTTTGATTGACATGTTTTTTTTAAGGTACTTGATCTTATAAACGTCACGTCTAGGTATGATAGAAATAACTCATAGGGAGTCCTGTGGGTTTCTCTAATTCTGGAGGCATCGACAAGCAGTTTCCTATTCAACTAAAAAAGGTTTAAAGTTCAACACTAGATAAGATACCCTGTTAAAAAAATTCTTCAGAATTTCATGTTATGTGAAAAAGAGTTAAGAATAGAGAGACTCAAAGTCTTTTACATGGGTGCCCCATGTAAAGACTAAGAATCTAATCTTTGTACAGATAACCGCATCCTCTAGAATGACCACGAATTAGATGTGGCTACATTGTCGCCTACATGAAGATATATAGTTGTCACTTTCTATCAAGTGGGCAAGAAACTTGTTTGCTATTTTAGTTATAAAAAAAAGGTGTTTGTTCACCTATCTATCTTTCTTATGACCACCTGTACACGTACTCGGGCGGATTTCCGAATGAATTCGGTCCTCAAGGCAGCTTCGAGGTTATATACAATAGCCTTATATGGGAGCACGCAATACATTACGATTAGGCGGTTAGCCCACGTGTACAAGGTAAACTGCACAGCCATATTATTAATGTACAAGTTTTGTTTGTATGCATGACTCGAATTAAGACCTCTGATATTTGATAAATATATGCATGGATATATCTTACATGCTTGTGAATAAATAATAACAATATTGGACGGAGAATTTTGGATTCATTTACTGATTAATACAAAAACTGTTTATATATGTTCAAATTAGTGAGTAAATGTAATGAATATGACTAATTACTTATTTAAAACGGCCGTAAGCAGACGTCATTAAAATGACATATGAAAATAAAAAAGGAAAACATAGCAAAAAATATTTTCTTAGAAATTATTAAAATTCGTAAACATTTGGAGTAGAAAACAGGGGAACATCAAATCACTATGACCGTTGTTTCTACAGGTATAGTCAGAGTAAGCTACAGTTCTCCTTTTTGATCTCTTCGGAAATATGGAGCGGCAGGGGGGACGGCTAACAGCAATAGAATAGTTCGAAAAAGGATACTCAGAGACAGCATTACATTTAGCAAATATCTATATATAAAATGTTTCGACGCCCGCATAAGTCAGCCTTAAGAAGTCAAAGTTGTTACTAAGAACGATTGTTACAAACTCCTATATCACTAATTAATACTGTGAACATATGTTATTGTAACTTCGCCTGTTAGGAACCTATAAACATACATATTCGTCGCGGTTACAACTCTTGATTTACGGCCCATTATCAAGCATCGTAAATGTTTTGCGTAACAAATAAAACGTGTGAAATTCTATTGTGTAGTTATAGTAAAATGATGTTAGAAATAGAAAGTGATTGTGTGTTAACAATACATTTAAACAGACTAAATAGATTATGCTACTGGTATACAGCTTATGGCAGGTCAAAATACGATCCGATCTTATACATGGTAGCTACAAAATGCCCATAAATGAATGGCAAAATGTAAGACATCGTATGCACGTTCTATTCTATTCCTATGATATGATAATTTACTGCAACCACAGATCCAATTTCCTCAATTTATGACGGCAGATATATATATAACACGGTTAGATCTAACCCTAATTTACATGTGGACTAGCTATTATACACGATTTCGTCTGGTGTTTTCAGACAAAAGATAACCTGTGTTCATGCTCGTCATACAATTTATTTTAGAGTTAAATTTTATTAAGATCCGTACAGCCATTTAATAGTGAAAAGGTAAAAAAAAAACAGTCAAATTTTCTTATTTATAATAATAGTATAGAGGATTCATCGACAGACGAAACCACTGCTATAGTAGAATAGAAAATAATAGAAAATTCTTTACTCAAATAAATTTAAATTTAAGCACGTTGAAAAGTCATATATTTTATTCTACTGCTCATTCGTTCAGTCTATTATGTTAGGTCTATTTTATGTACTCAGTGATTAGAGAATTTTTAAGTTTTGTGTAAATAATTTATGAACATAGTATTAAATTTTAACACGAATAATTTTATAGCAAATAAAGGTCTCTATCGACATTTCAACTAGGTTGCACTAGCCGTGGTCACTAGCTGACTCTAATAATATTTTTTAAATTTATAATATAATTACTAGATCAGGAAAGTCATAAGTAAAACAACGATGTTTCTGTACCACCAAAGATTTTTTATAAACGGTTTTTTCAAATTTTATTCCTCAAATTATGTTTTCATGTCTGGATGTTGTAAAAACTTCAGATTTTACGATTTACATTAAAAAGTAACAAATAAGTGTGTAACAACAAAATAATAGATAGAATACAGAAGGGTCTTCCCTTTCTGGTCACTATAATTTTTTTTAGAGCTATGCTTATTTATTACTTTTTACTCTATGTTTTTATATTTATAATAATATTTGTTTAAATAGTAGCCTATCAGGATGATTCAAGTAGCTAGGCTATGTTGTCTGGTCGCCAAAACCAAATAAACAAAAATATCGTTTGTTTTTTAACTTTCTGTGCAGACAGAGGCGTATTGAAAGCCCTTCCAAAGTTAGAAGCCAATTAATTATTCACGAGGTACCCCATAAGCAAATATAAATAAACCGATGCGTTTTAAAATCTATTTGACTTTACAAGTGGTTTAAAATTATATAAATTGGAAAAAGTAACTTCTTTTACTTTTTTTGTGATTAAATAGAAATAGAAATAATCTTTATTCAAATAAACTTAATATAAGCACTTTTGAATAGTCAAGTTTTTTTATTCTACCGCTTATTCGGAATGCAGATTCACATTATTCATATTTTTAATACTAGCAGTTATCCGAGACTTCGTCTGTACAAACTCTCAACGTTTATTTCACTGCCTTCCAGATTAATTTTTGGGATAAAAGATAGCCTGCCTATCTGCGTTCTCGTGATACGATCTATATATGTAAAATTTCATTACGATCCGTCCAGTTGTTTAGCCGTTAAAAGGTAACAAACAGACAGACACTTTTCTATCTTAATATTAGTATATATGGAAGCATGGAATTATTATTGTACAACATAACGATTTAAAAACACTTTCGTTTCGTATACAGGTTTATACTTGTTAATCTATTAAAATGATCAATTGCACGAGAACATGTATTTATGTAATAGTAAAATTATGCGGTCGTTTAATTAATTCAGAAATTGAACGTTAAAAAAAGTGTTTACAATCAAGTATAGCTGTTTCTGTACAAGTTTTTTAAGGAAGTCCACAACTTGTCTTTTATTAAGATACTATTCAACGTCACAATACTATACTTTTTATGCTCGGTTCTTAAACAATTTGAAATGTATTCGATTTTAGAATCTAAGGTTAGCAGCAATTACGTTCAAAATTTACACGCGAAGTTAGTGCACTTCCGGTATATAGCAGGTACTTAAGAAATAATAATAATTCAGGATAATTCACAAAGCGTCAATAGTCCCAAGTTAAGCAGAGCTTGTGTTTATTTGTACTAGATATCTGTATATACATAGGTATATGTTTAAGAAAAAATACAAAAGAAAATTAAAAAATGAAAGATATGATTACGGAAGAAAAGAAAAAATAATAATTAAGAAAAATATAAATATTATAAGTTAGGATAAGAAAAGTAAAAAATATTCAATAAAATAAAAAAAAAATTGTAGGAGAATTTTTTTGTAAAAAAAAAAAACAAAAAATATATACTGATGACGATGACTAATAAATACTTCTATTGATGTAAATATCAAGGATACTGAAAGAAAGTACGTCACGAAACTAATTCCTATAAAACACAAGGTGAAAGGTTTCCATTATTACTATGTGGTATAAAGTCACGGTACATGTTATTGTTCCTAACGCTCGTGACTTCACTAACGTGTACACGCATCGCGTGAATCGTTACTCAATTCCATGTCTATTACATTAAAAAAAAAAATTGATTTGAAAGCAACAGTGATGTATCGGTTCTGTACGGCACAAAGCGGAAATACACGAGGCCGCGGTATAGAACGAGAAATGACATCTACAAAATCGGTCATGGCGTGATGCAGACACTTGTATCGGAAGCGATTACTGTTAGCTGACATTCTGTCTCAAGTATCGATATATATAACTAATTAATTACAACACAAAACTAAAAATTAAAAACACAACACAATACAATAACATCACTAAAATTTATGGAACACAAATTTTATAAATTTAAAAATGTTTGATTTTGGAACTG